GAGAGGAATTTGAAACCCGGGTTACTGCCAGCACTAGATGTCAGACAAAATCACCTCAAGGAAGAGAGAGTGAGGAGGAAACAGCAAGTCCCAGAATTGGATGTTGCACTAGTTTGAGGCTGTGCCCACTTCACTGGCTCCTCCAGCTCCCTAGGCGGTTGGCCTTGCTACCCCTTCCATGTGTTGCTCTGGTCCAACATAAATGAACTTCAAATGATCCTCATAGCTTTAGTCATAATTTAGTTGTGGAATTCAGAAATGTCCTGCAGAATTCTAAAGATTCAGTATGCATATAAAAGAAGACAGTGCTTCAGACTGCTAATTTTTAATATTAAAGGCATATTGACCAGCTAATTTTCTGACAAAAAATTATACTGACAGCCATTGCCAACTGATTTTCCTGTTTTTATTCTTGGAAAGATTAGAATTGTTCAGTCATTCAGTGCCCAAAAAATTGTGATTTTTTTTTTAAAAAAAGAAATCTGTATTTTTAACACTGCTTAGAATCTTTTGTTTCCAGATCAAACTCAGGGAGAATGAATATGTGTGTAATTAATTCCTGTTGTGAATTGTTTTTTGAATACAACTTCAAAGCTCTTCAGGGACAAAAAATGAATAATTTATGTCAGAAGTGGCATTTCTAAATCATTTGAACATTTTATTTTTATATGTCCATGATTCAAGCAGGTTTGAACACCCTTGCCTGGTGTTCTGTTTTTGAAACTGTCTACATTATCTAATATGGTAGCCACTATCCACATGATTATTTAAATGTAAATTTATATAAATTAAAATTAAATCATATTTAAAATTCATTTTCTCAGTCACACAAGTGCCCAATAGCCACATATAACTAATGCCTAGGATGCTGAACAGTGTAGATAAAGAACATTTTTATCATCTCAAAAAGTTCCGTTGGAAAGCACTTATGGGTTGATAATGGGAATGTCTCTCCTTGGGGCCCTTTATTGGCCAAATAATTCTAAAAGGAGCCAGAGGGTCACTGCATACGTTTTAGAAACACATCACATGATCCACACACCTAAACAGGTTGATATCATGGATTATCTCCCAAATGAACAGAGCTAGTGTCCTATGGAGCTGATAGCTGCTCTTAAGTCCTGGTCTTAGGGTAGATGGTTCCTAGTATGAGGCAGTTTGAAAATGTGTAAGTCAGCATAGAATTTAAAAGACGTCTGCCCACAGACAAATGCTGTAAATCAAAAAACCCACCTGTAACACTTTCTGAGGTGAAAATTAATGGAAACAGTAACAAGCAGAAAATTGATAATCAAATATCAGCATTTTGGGCAGCAAGTGTGGTTCCGTCATAGAGCACTTGCCTAACATGAGCAAAGTTAAAGGTTCAGTCACTAGCATCTCAAAAAAAGAACACACACACCAAGGTTAGATTAAGTTCCTACTCTAATTGCCCGGGAAAACAGAATCGTCTTGGAAATGAGGTGGTTTCCAGGTCAGGAGCAGATGGGGTAGATCTCAGCCTAGCTTCTCTGCCCCTGGGGATCCTAGGAAACTTTTTCCCAGGGGACTCTCTGTCCTAGGGAATTCTCTGTCCTAGGGAACTCTCGGGGTAGGAAAAGGTCTTGTCACGCCTGTAAAATCCTTTGAGGAAAAAAAAAAACAACAACACAGGGTGTTGCTATGTAGTTCAAGCTGGCCTTTGAACTCTCCGTAGCCTCGAAGTCATGATCTTTCTGCCTTAGCCTCCCAAGTGCTAGAATTGCAGGCATTTGCCACCACCCCTGGTAAGTGTTTGGTTTGGTTTGCTTTGCTTTGTTTTCTGTGGTACTGAGAATTGAACATGGTAGGCAAGTGCTCTACCACTGAGCTACACCCCAGCCCTATGAGATCAAATCTTGCTGCCTTTTATAGTCACAGTTTACGCCAGCAGTCTGGAAGAACTGGCCCCGAGGACTGTTTGTGGGTTAATATTTCACAGAATCAGACATTTCTGGAGCTCTAGCCACACACAGCCATCACTAAAGCCGCATCCTCAGCCCAGGGAAAAGAGTAGAGGTGGTACTTCCGCCTCAAGAGGACTGTTTTCCTAAACCTTCCCCGCACTCTACCACACTCTACCCCGCCTTTTTATTTGATTGGTTCAAAAGCCAAGTTATAACTGAGGCCTGTGCTCACAAGTCCACTTCCCCATCAAATCAAATCAAATTAGAAGAAATCGAATTGATCGTGGAAGTTGGTTTTTGAACTCCAAGGCAGGTTTAATTAGAAGAGGTAAATGAAAATCTGTGCAGTGATTCTGCAGGGGCTTTCAGAGACTTCCAAGAGCTCTCATCACCGATGGAGATGATTGTACTTTTTGTTCTTATTTTATTTTCAGATTCACAGCTTTGCTTCCCTTGGCAATGGTAGATCACCACACTGCTAAACAGATTTATATTTTTCTCACAATTTTAGAGGAAGAGGAAAGAGAAGAGAGTGATTATTTTCCAGGGGACAATGAGCAGAAATCAGAACAAGAAGAAAAAAGTGTCACATATAAATTGCCCTAAAGAACATATTATATATTATTTTCTGCTATCTTTTCTTATTTAATTACATAAAATTATCATGCCATATGTAGATCCATCTAATGTTATTAATAATTGCATATTATTTTCCAAAAATAAAAATGATCTGTGTATGGTGATACACACCTGTAATCCCAGCAGTCTGGGAGGCTGAGGCAGGAAAATCTAACGTTGAATCCAAAATGGGCCATTTAGAGATTTAGCAAGACCTTGTCTTGAAATAAAAAGGGACTGAAGACCTGGCTCCATGTGAAGGCCCTGGGTTCAACCAAATACAGGAAAACAAAGAATGAAGAGTGGGGACAGGAGGAAGGAGAGGAAGAAGATGGAGCATAGAGGGAGGGAAAATGGAGAGGAGAAGAGGGGAAGGGAAGGAAGGGGAGAGAGGAGGGGAAGGGGGCAAGGCCCTCAACTAAAGGGAACATCTGTGGACAGGCTAGGAGAAGGGGAGGTCAGACACTCCGAGCTCTGGGCACGACGCCATGGTCTTGAGACCAGTGAACACTTGTGCTGTGCTTAGTGTACTTTGTATGTGAACCCATTTAATAAGTTAATGATTTGGTCAACTAATTCATTTATATACTTATCTTGAATTTAAGACAGAAAAAAAGAGTTGCATGATGGAAGAGAGATCGTGAGGTGAATATTTCTCTCCATCCAGGTTAGCAAAATTATCAGAAGCCAGTTTTAGGTCTAAGCAACCAGCCCTTTTCCCTACGGCACACTTATTATTTGGGATAACTGGAAATAGGAGATTATCTGAAGTCCTGGTTTCCTGTTTCTTTTCTTTAAAAAGAGGAAAGTAGATGAGGTCAGTTATGAAGATCACAGACCTCTTTAAGATTAGAAAAATAGTTATTTGCATTGTAAGACAATGCAAAGACCTACTTTAATTACAGAGGAGTCTGAAGTGCCAGCTAGATCAGGTGGGATAGTCTAGGTTGTGCATGAGCAGATGAATGACTCCGCAGGTAAGCAGAGCACTCAAGAATCACCAAATGCACCCCACTTCCCTGTGACTTTACCCTTTTCACAATCACTGGGACACCTTGGACATTTTCCCAGTCTTATAGAAAGTGCTATTCGAATAAAGTTTTACTGTGAGTCCTGTTGATAGCCCCTTTCCAGCCCAAGTGCCTCCCTTCATGCTACCTTTATGAAAAGTCTGTCTACCATTGACCAACTCCATTTTACACATGTGAAGACTGAGGCCCAGAAAGGGTATGTAATTTGTTTAATTCAAAGGCCATTTGGAGGCAAGGTCAGCCACCATTTCTTTGAAAGCCATAAGCCAATTGCAGGACCCAAATTCCCTTTGACAAATCTGGGGCCTTATTTTTATCTAGAGATCACCCAAGAAACAGCATTTCTGGATCATTTGCTTTAAAATGCAATTCATTCATACTTATTCTCACCGCCACCCCCCACCCCCCATTGGTGGTACTGGGGATTAAACCCAGAGCCTTCAAAGTAAGCTACATCCCCATCCATTTTTTTAAATTAATTGTATTGGTACATTTAAGGTATACAATATAATGACATTCATCATTGGAAATTTGTACCTTTACATGATCCATCTTAGCTATTTTTCCCTGTTCCTCTGCCCTCCCTTCAAACTTTCTACCCTTCCCTATCTAGAAAGATTCTTTTTCCATTTTTTCATTTTCTCCTTTTTTTAAATGTTTTATTTTGAGACAAGGTCTTGCTAAGTTTCTAAGTTACCCAGGTTGGGCTTGAATTTGTGATCCTCTTACCTCAGCTTCTCAGAGTGCTGGAATTACAGCAGTACACCAGCATGCCTGGTGTGTCTCTTAACGACAAAGATACATTCCAAGAAATGCATTTTTAGGTGATTTTGTCAAGTAATCTCTGCAAACATTAAACATACTTACACTGACATGGGATTGGTCAATCATCCAATGTGGTCTCTTGATGTAATAGAGAGTAGTAAACAGAGAGAGATGTATGTATGAAGCTACTGCCAGCATAACATGAAGTCCTGTTCTACAGTAGTGTTTTTGTAGGTTGAAGGAGCATACCCTACAGTAATAAAAGTATAGTATAATAAATACATAAACTACCATAGCCGCTTACTATCATTACCAAACATGAACTGTGTACAATTGTATGTGCTGTACTTTTCTATAAATAGCAGTGCAGTCATTTATGGACACCAGCATCATCACAGTACACAATTAATGGATTTGCTAGGGTATTACTACAGCTGCAGCACCACCAGGCAATGGTAATTTCTCAGTCCCATTCTAATGTCATGGGGCCAATATCACATATTCAACGACAACTAAAACATTGTTTTTGGGCACCAGACTTTATTTCCATTTTTATTTTTCTTCCATTTGATATTATGATAGTCTTTTTTACTATTTTTTAAAGACTTCCTTTTAAAGAATTAGAGCCTTCTGGATAGTGATCTCTCATTTCTTCCTGCAGTTCCTTATCAGCAGAATCCCTACAGTCCCCGGGGCAGCTCCAGCGTCATCCAGTGCTTCCGATGCGGAGACACCTGCAAAGGGGAAGTGGTCCGTGTGCACAACAACCACTTCCACATCAGATGCTTCACCTGTCAAGGTAGGAGGCCCGATTTCCCAGCCCTTTTCTAGGAGTCCTGACCACACTCTCCAGAGGGATGTGCCTCGGGGACAGGAAAACAGATACGGGAAGTGAGGATACCTAAAAGGCCTGAAGAGACCTTCCCTGAGCTGCTTCTTAAGAGAATTCTCCCTTAGGCAGGGGAGAACAAAGCAGATTAGAGTGCAGGAGTGTCAGCTGTGGGGAAGAGAGAAAACAGACAACCACAGAAGGGTAGGGGCTGGTCCTGCAAGCTTAATTTAAACATCTGAAAAGAATCCTGGCTGTGCCTACAAAATTACTTTGAGAGCAAATGGTAGCACAGACTGTCTTGGCTAAATCTAGCCTGGCTCTGAAATGATCACCTGTTCTACAGCAGTGTGACAGTCCTCAGAGTCTAGGGTTAACAAGGGCAGATATCCATCGTGACTGTAGTGAGATTTACAGTTGGAAGCAAACAGATAGTGAGTTACTTTTAATCACTGCAGCTTACTCGTGGCGAATTTAGAGAATTCCACACTCAACCTAGCTCAGAGTTCCAAAGGAAGCAGGATAGCAGCAGCAGGAAGAGAGAAGGCATGGAGAGTCCTCTGGCCCAAGTGGCCACTTTCCTTTCACAGTGTCCCTGAAAAATACCTCTCCAGCCTCCCCTCCTGTACCCTGCCTTCAGGCTCACGGATTCACAGAGCAGTCATTCTCATGGTGGGTGGCTTGTAGGTTCAGGAAGCACTTGATGTAAAATCTGTAACTTCCACTTCCTGATCCTAGGTTTGTCCTCATAAAATTTAGAGAATACTTTGTGTTCACTTTTCCTTGTGACTGCCCTTCAGATACCTGTAGCTACGTTGATCTATGTCCAGCTATGTTGCAAGTCCTTGAATCAGGGCCCATCTGAAATTCCAATCTGTGTCATCATCCTAGAGTCTTCCTCTTTGATCTATTCTAGTCTATCACTGTCATTCTTAAAGCAGGACACCCAGAACAGACCTGGGTCTAGTAAATACAGCAAGGAATGCATTTCCGTTCATGTGACCAATGCTGAATCGACTTCCTGAGAAGCCACTTGAAAACATTCATTGACTTGTACTGAACTTATGGTCAACTGAAGCCCTTGGACCTTCTTACATCAGTAACCAACTCCATCCTTCTCCTGTATCTGAATTTGGTTTCCCCTACCATAAAGAAAAATCCTGGACTTCTTTCTTCATTAGCTGGGCTCTTCACTGGGAAAATGAATTACATATTCCTATTTCCCATTTGCCTATATTTTATTGGCAATTAAGCATATACCTTAATTATGTCAATTTAATTTAAACTGTGGTTTAAATTTTATACTAAGAATTGGCAACCCCTGTTAGTACAATTTGAACTTCAAGAATGCCTTATGAGTGACTATTTTCACATGCTCAGAAATTGAAGCAAGACAAAGAATAAAGACAATGAAATTATTGCAAGGAGGTTCGGGATATGACTGTGTGATTGTATTCTTCAGTGTTACCAGTTACCCTTCACTTAAAGCAAATGAAATATCCTCGTTGAGCTGTCCCTCCACATGGCTTCTCATCCTCCAGCAGGCTGGCTCGGGCTCAACTGCAACAAGGGAGCAAGCTTCAGTTTGTGTTCCATATGTCAAAGTCCTGCAGTTGGCAAAACAAGTCGAAGGGCCAATCCAGATACAGGGTCATGGAGAAACAGACTGCCTTTTGTGGGAGGATGTGCAGCATCTGATTTCAAGAGTGTGGATGCAGAAAAGGGAATAATTTGGCCACTTTGAATCTACCACAAGGAAGTTGTAGAGCTACTTTCAATGGAGATTTAAGAGGAAAGACAAACTATTAGTGTTCTGAGTATTTTCTGTACCAACTTGCTCAGAGGTAGAACAAATGACACAATTCAGGTCTCCAGCGGTAATCAGTAATGAGATCAGCTACCCTAAAGAGCCTTCTCATTTAAAAATTCGAAAGTTTCTGTGCATTTTTTGTTACAATGCTTCACAGGCACTGCTGTGCTGACATGAAAAGAAAAAAATCTACTGTAGAGGTAAAAAATAAAAATGAAAGGAGAAATCCTGTTGTGCCTACTGATGTCAAATTTTACCCCAATAGTTTGTACTAAACCTTGGAGACCTTGAGCTTTTACCTTCATATCTAAGTGGATCGTGGAGAAAAAACTACAACATAAGAAATTGGCAAAAATGCGAACTTGGTGGGAGACTTCTGTATTTAGCTGACATTTTCTCCTGCAGAGATCTTGGTGTACGAAGAGTGGCTCTGGCAAAAGAGACAGAGATGAAACGTGGCTGTCCCTATTTTGATTCTGGGTAAAGGAAACTAAAACTAGTATGAAACTATCTGTCAATAACACATCATGATTTCTGGATGAAATTCATGTGATGTATTGGGTGTAAATTTAAAAATCAAGCAGAAAATTTAAAAGAACATCTCACACTTGGCAATGTCAGAAGAAATGATAATCCAGTTTGGGGGAAACTCAACTTTACTTTGGACCTCAAATAATTCCCATAAATAATGTTATTAGGAAAATCAATAACTCACAGCCCAAAACATACAAATCATAAAGGAGAGGGAAGTAGGAGAAACAATGGAGAGCAGAATCAGAACCTCAAAAACTTTGTCTATTGGAATTTATGTTACAACTACATAATAAAATCTTGCAAGAAAATATAAAAGATAATATAAAATATAAAAGAAACACACCTACACACATCAGAGTTAAACTTCAGATTATCAAAGCGAGAGATAATCTTCAAGGTAGCCAGAGTTAAATGACAGATCATTTCCTTATGAGTGGTAATATGGTGACAGCTGACTTTTCAATAGCAACAAGAAGCCAGAAAACAGTAGAATCATATCCCCAATGTTCTGAAATAAATAACTGTCAAAGTAAGATTATATATTCAGTAGAGCGATCTCTCTAAAACAAAGGCAAAGCCATGGATATCATTATACTTATTGGTGAAAAACAGGATATTTCCCTGTAAGATCAAGAACAAAATAAGGATGTCTGCGCTTGCCATTTCTTCATGCTGTTTAATAATCAAGAAATGAAAAAAAAGATTCCAAATTGAAAAGGAAGAAGGAAATCTATCTTTATTTGTGTGATATGATCTTGTATATAGCAAATTCTAAAGAATGCACTAAAAAAACTGTTAGAATAAAAAAATTCTTCAAAGTTTCACTTTGCAATTGTGCAATTGTGTTTCTACACAACTGGCAATAAACAGTCAGAAAATAAAATTGGCAAAACAGTTCCATTTAGAATAGCTTTAAAAATAAAATACATTGGGATAGATTTAACAAACTTTACACTGTGGCAACTACAAAACATTAAAGAAGTCCTAAATAAGTGGAGTCATCTGACGTTCATGAATCGGAAGACTCCATATTGTTAGCTGCATTCTTCCAATGGATCCACAAATTTAATGCTGTCTTAGCTCATGTTACCATGACAAAATGCCACAGGCTGGGTGGCTTAAATAGCAGAAATTATTTTCTCACATTTCTGAAAACTATAGAGCCCGAGATCAAGGTGCCAGCATGACTGGGTTCTGGTGAGTTCTCTTCCTAGCTTGCAGAGGGCCACCATCTTGTTGAACCTTCATATGACAAGGGATAAAGACAGATGGCTGTCTGGTGTCTTTTTCTTATAAGACTACTGTGCCACTTAGTACTGACTGGATTAAGAGGTTTCTGGAGAAGTGATTGAATTGTGAGAGAACTAATATCATCAATGGGTTTACCCATAGATGAGCTCATAGCTGAATGGATTATGAGGAGTTGGGGCCTAGTTGGAGGAAATAGGTCACAGGGTTATGACCTCCCAGGACTGTATCTAGTCCCTGTCCCCTTCTTCTCTGGCTCTTTGTTGCTCTCTCTCTCTGCTTCTAGCTACCATGTAATGAACAGATCACCTCTGCCATGCCCCTCTGCCTCGGAACCAGCTAACCATAAACTGAAGCCTCTGAAACTGTGAGCCAAAAATAAATCTTTTCTCCTTTAACTGTGGGTATTGAGTATTTCTTAGTAGCAACAGAAAGCTGACCAATACAGAAAATTGGTAGTAAGAAATGGGGTTGTTACTGAGATTGTGGTTTTACTAGCTTATTGGGAAAGCAGGCTAGAAAAGCCCTAGCAAGCAGAACTTGATGGGTGGCTCTGGTGGGACCTCAGAAGACCAGAATGCTCTTATTGGGTATTTAATAACAATAACAAAAAGCTAACTAATATAGGTGCTATTCCCATCATGAGAACTCCACCCTTAAGTCTTCATCCAAACCTAATTACTTCACAAGGCCACATCTCCAGACACCATCACTTTGGAAGTTAGAACTTCAACGTATGAGCTTGGAGGGCAGCATAATTCAGCTATTAGCAACTGTTATCGCTATTGAAATTTCAGCTGGCTTCTTTGCAGAAATTGCCAGGGTGATCCTAAAACTCGTGTGGAATTGCAAAGAATACAGAATACCCAAGCAGTCTTTAAAAAGAAAAGCAAAGTTGAAGAGTTCACTTTTAAAACTTGCTGTAAGGCTATAGTGACCAATACAGTGTGATATGAGCACAAGAACAGTCATATAAATCAATAGAATAGAATTAAGAGTCCAGAAATGAATCCTTATGGCCAGTTAATTTTTGACAAGGTAACCAAGACAATTCAACAGAGAAAAAAGTCTTTCATGCAAATGATGCTAAGTAAACTGAATATCTGTGTGCAAAATGATAAAACTAGACTGTTTCTTCACACAAAAAATTAACTCAAAATGAATCAAACACTTAAATAATACCACTCTTAGAAGAAAATGTGAGTAGATCTTTATGATCTTCAGTTGGGTGTAGCCTTAGATATGACACAAAAACAAAGGCAAAACAAGTAAATCAAATATCAAAATTTAAAACTTTTATGCTTCAAAATATGCCATCAAGTATGTGGGATGATAACTCACAAGATGGAATAAAATATTTGCAAATCATGTATCTGAT